GGGAGGGCTCAATGATGACTGTACTCCCTACTGCAGAGACATCAGACTCAGGTAATTTCGCCCACACCAAACTTTCAGACATTGGCTGCAGAGTTACACATCTTTTCAGTTTTGCCGTGCCAATTTAGTTAGTTACTGCTCCACCTTTGCATTCATCTGAGGAGGACAGCAGAGTCATCAACTTAGGCAAACTATCACTCTGAAAACTTGTCACAGGAGATGTGATATTTTGGCAACTTACAGTTTTTTTCATCTGCAAAATGAGCCACTTGATGGCATTGCTGCAGAGAATCATTTCATCAGTCTGGCCTGGCACAACTAGAACAGGAATTATTACCTTATAGCCATAAACTGATGCAGTAAGATCATACATGGCAGATGGAGTAACAAGGTGACCACCACAACCAACTATGACAAAGTCTTCAGCTGATTTCCTTTCCATGTTAGGGACAGATTGTGAAAGTCTTATGTCAGCTGCCTCACTAATTGTGCATGCCATAGATCCACTGTCCACTAATGCTTTGAGAGCATGTCCATTATTGGTGGTCACAGCTGTGTGGAATAGACTATCAGTCTCTGGGAGTCTTTGCAGCCTTTGTACAATCAGTGTCTTATTTGATGGCACCATGCTGCTGTAGGTGTCATACAATGTTTCACAATCATCAATGTCTTTCATATCCAAGGTGGGAGGCTCACTCACATAATCTGCACTATCCTCCCTCTTGCGCAGATCATTCAGTTTCCCTGCTGGTTGTAGTGAGGAGGACGTCTCCCCTCTGGGCACTCACGTCTTGGGTGGCCAGGTAAGTGACACTGGAAGCAAAGTTTGTTCTCTCGACAGTGTATGAAAGCAGAGTGAGAGCTGTCATTACATATAGAACAAGGCATGTCCATAAAGCCCTTGATCTTTGGTGGCTTGTTGCTAGTATATTGCCTCCTATTAGCTTGAGCATACCCAGGGGCCTGGAGCAACACCTTCTCCAGCATGCCAATCAACCTCTCGAAAGCGGAGGTGTCCTGGCTCACAGCTTGTGCCTGTTTGGGAATGTCTGACACTAAAGCAGCATTAGTGTTCACCTCAGCTACATTCATGTTTATCCTGCCTCTCTCTGTGGAAGACCTCAGTCCCTTCTCCAAATGGTATTCATCTAACACTTCCTGAACTTCTCGTGCTGACCATTTATCAATTGTCTTGGACCTAAATGTAAGAGCTAAATCTCTGCTGGGGCAGTGTCTGATGAATATATGTGTGACTTCAATACTGGGATTATCAAACACCTTACCCTGTTCCCTAAGACAACTGTCAGCCACATCGACAGCTCTGTTTAGTCTGAGCCAGTACTCATGGGTCCTCTTGTTCTTTTGGTAGAGTGGAATAAAAGTCAGCTAAGGGCACAGAAGAGCAATGGCTGGAGCTGAAATGTTTGCGGAGGAGTCCATAGATGGCCTGTGGGTTCTCTTGGACATCAATTCCACTATTTCTTATCCCAAACTTCACAACATCCTTTGCTCTGCCCCTCAGGTGAATCAGAATTTCTTCAGCTTGATGCTCTGGCTGGATACTGCTTTTCCTGATGTAATTTCTCATAAAATCTTCCCATTCATCAACAGGCAGTGTGTCTGAACTCTCTCCTCTGAACACAGGTGGGTCTTTAACTCCTCTCTGAGTGACTAGCTGGACTTGGGAGAGATCCAGTGTTTGGCTGGGGAGTGTGTCTTTTAATGCATGTTTCTTCATGACTGGTGTGCGAAGCAGCTGTAGTGTTAATGCGTGACATAATGCTATCAGCTAGCTGCTGCCCTATCTGCTGCACAATAGTGCTCATTTGGTCAGCTAGTCTCACATCATCAGGAGGGTTGGGGACTGATGAGCTAAAGCACTGTGGTGTAGATAACTCTACTGTAGGCTGGATGGAAGGTGTCATCACATCTCCATTTCTGATAAGACTGTGCACTGAATCCCCATCAAAAGTTTTCCTATCCCCCACCTAGTGAAAATGGAACAGGTGTGCTACATAGCCCTCTACCCCTACCAACATTGAAAGGAGTCATTTCAAAGGTATTCAATCTACTGGAACTCATGTTTTATCGATAGTAAACCAAAATAAAATGACAAGTTCAAAAGAATAAGGCTTATATCAACAAAATAAACCTGAGAGTCCAACACAATGAAGGAATTGAAGCTCCAAAACGTTGCAGCGGCGAGAAGACATTCACCCTGGTCCAGCGTAGTCAAGAACGGGTCACGGCACCAATGTAACCCCGGTGTAATGTCCCCTCAGCAACAGACCACTCAGAGCTGGTGATTACTTCAGTTTATTCCATACATAGGCTACCTGCGTTGCCATGGACACATACAATGGACACGTGAGCTGGGTTTCTCAACAGATCCTCACGCGGTATCTAAATCTCCTTTACAATCCAATAATCAACAACACAACAATGATCGTATAGTGGTAGTATAACAATGTGAAACATTAAACATAAACAAACTGGTGTACAAAACTCACATACCTGCGTTGCAATGGACACATACAATGGACACGTGAGCTGGGTTCTGTTGGAGAGATAGCACCACGCTCACGTTAGCCTATTAGCTCAAATTAGCTATTGACGAACACATTAATAAATCATATAACACAAATAGCGAATCACACAAAAACATGTTGCTGTGAGCATTAAACGACTAACATTAAACTAAACAAACACAACAGAACGTTATTGTCCTAATAAAATAATAACATACATTTTGTCCACAGACATAATACAATAGCACCTTACTCTCAACAGATCCTCACGCGGTAACAAAGCTACAGCAATGCAGGCACACGTTTGTAACACCAGATGGCGTAATTCTCCAATTTATCCTGGATTTTACACCAACCATTTTAACTCTGTTACATATGCAAGTGGTGCAGTGACGCATCCTATAACCCGGAAGTAAGCTTCGCACGGATTCCCTCGACAGAAAACAATGGCATTTCTCCATAGGATTTTGGAAAATAGCTCGAAATAAGGTCTGTGGAAAACGAACCTGTTAGATAAATGCACGTTTTGTTCAGCCGGATAATATCCACATGTCTACCCTACTTTTATTATTTTCGAATCATACATCTAAACGATAGATTTATGATCGATAGATTTATAATTAGCATAAGTTCGTTCATGATGGCTCACTTCAGTGATAGTGATGACATCGTTGCGAAATTATTAACCGAGTCATTTTCAAGATTGAGTTACAATGATAAACTGGAGTGGCAAAGGATCAGCTGAATGACCCGCAAGTGCTTCATCCAAAAGGACAGGAGGATGGACTTTGTGTTTAAGTGATTTGATCATCAAAGGTAGGCCTAAGTCATTTTCAATGTGGGCCGCCGTGCCGACTTAATTCATTTGCAATTGTTACTTGGCTGTAAGTAAGGGAGCCTGTCATGATAGGTGTTTATATAAATGGTGTTGTTTTGTGTGGTAGAGGGCAGTGGCGGCGCCAGAGATTTTCTCTAGGGGGTGCTGTGGGGTAGCTTGACGTTTCATAGAGGGTGCTCAACATTAAGGGTTTTCCATTAATGCACCAGCGCTACAGTTGCATTTTCTACTGCAACACTCCCCACACGCACACACAGTGCACCCGCGACTGTTACAATGAAGGCTCGATAATCAGCTCACGGCATATAGGCAGGGGTAAAGTGCTATTTTTACAAGTGGGGAGCGGACCTCACCTCCTCTAGGAGGGTCCTCACCTCCTCTACTGGGGTCCGGGGGCATGTTTCCCCGGGAAGATTTTTTTTTAAATATTGAAGTTAAAAGCATCAATCTGGTGCACTTTGAGAGCAACATTAAGAGATCTGTGGATACATCTCTCAACACCCATGAAACAGAACTATAAACAGATGTTCTATTTCTTTATAGATATTTTACAAATCACTCCCCTTTTAAAACAAACTGTTTGAGACCCACTGAGATAACTAGACTACAGTGAACTATCTAAACACTGAGAGAGTCCTTTACTTCACCTGAGCTGAGGCTATCTGAGACTCTCAGTCTGACAGGAGAGAGTTCTCCCTCCACCTTGTTGTTGAAAAAGCTCCTTATATCCGTTAGCTTGGCTAGTTAGCACCAGATGCTAACCACAACGATCTCCGGTAGATAGTAGATACCCACCAGTGCGCGAGCGCTCTCTCTCGCTCGCTCACTCGCGCACGCACACAAAATGGCTCGTGCCACACACACACACACACACACACACACACACACACACACACACACACACACACACACACACACACACACACACACACACACACACACACACACACACACACACACACACACACACACACACACACACACACACACCACACACACGCACACGCAGAGCTTGAATGAAACACAGAGACCCAGAAGTAAGCTACTGTACTCACAAAGCATATTATGTGCAGAATCCCTCTAACAGGAAGTCACTTAAGTGTCACAAAGTAATTTAGCCTATGGATAGGTCAAAAATCTAATGGGTGCTGGCCATTGGCCTAATCATATCACCCGTGTTGACTTTATGTTTTTGGTCAAACATTTGTTTGTTTCACATTTGCATTAATGTATTCAATAATTTTTCTAATTTAATAAAAATAATAATTTTAATTTTTTTTTTAAAACGAAAAAAACAAACAAACATATTTCTTGGGGGTGCTTAGGGGGTGCTTTGGCAATCCTGGGGGGTGCTTCAGCACCCCCTAGCTCCCCCCTGGCGCCGCCCCTGGTAGAGGGTCGCTGTCATTGATGCGTTTTGCACCCCGGGCCGCTGTTTAGATATTCCGCTGAAGTATACGCTGTGACGTAATATCTCTTCTTTTTTTTTCGAGGGAAGGGGGGTCAGAGGGCCTAGGTATAAAAGTCACGGCTCGCCACTGGTCAAAGTGTTTCATCTTCATGTTTTGCACCCGTCCAAGTTGTTGTTGTTTGCCCACCACTTTTTTCTTCTATTAACGCCATAGACCACAATATGCACTTGACGTCATTTATTTGTAACTCACATGCATCAGATAGAAATATGAAATTAATTGATCTCTGTTTACATCATTTGAAAATGATCACAGCTCAGATTGTTGATCCAAGAATATAAAACAATGGTATTATTATTGCATGTAGAGTTTGGTTGGCACAATCATTGTTTTTTCCTATTGGCAACTAGTTGTTGTTAGTGCTTCAGACTCACGTTGAAAATATGACACAGAGCAATGTCTTTCGAAGCTAAAAAGGTTTCATACAAGATTTCAAGACCTGATTTTATGACACGCACTGTGCACAGAGAGCATACAGACCTGGATCAACAGCACATGAGGTATCATGGTTACAATGTTGTATACTCTTATGCCTAATCTTAAATAAATAATAGTTACACTCATCAGTCAATACTTCTTCAGAGCTGAGCAAGGGATTGTGAAGACAAATCACTTAAGTAGCCCTACTACCTACAACATGATGCTACAGTAGGCCTATAGGTGTTAAGTTAATATTCAGCAAGTGACAAGAACAGTATTTTGGGCATCAGCGCTCATTTAGGAAGCTTTGTATGTGTTTCTGTGTGTGTGTCTGTTGTTGTGTCTATTTTCATGTTTTTTTGACGTTGCAAAAGAGTTTTGCTGTGACACTGTATGTTTGGTTGTAATTGGCCTGTGTGTGTTTGGCTGCATGCTCTTGTTTGTGTTTGTTTGTTTGTTTGTTTGTTTGGGTTCAGCTTTTGCCCAGATGGTTTCCTGGCACCATTCCAGTCTTCCCGTTCTTCTCTGCTGTCCACCAGCCATCTTCTCCTTGTTCCAACACTCGGATCAGTTCCCCTCTACTAACAGACAATTCATCCTCTTCCTGATCGATGAATATAAACAAAGATGACACATAGTTAACAAGGATGACACCATCAAGCATAGAGCTATGAATTCTCATACCTTAATACCTACATATTTGTAGCATATTATCCAATCAAAGTAATGTTACTCTGCTATTGACAGTTTTGGTTTCATGTCAAGCTACGGCTAAGCATTGTAAATAACATTTATATTGTGTTTATAGTAATCACCGTTGCTACATATTCATGAAGCACAATGTAGCATGTGTCGTCATCAGCTGGGACTGTTGGCAACGATGCTGCACCCAGGAGGCCTGGCAGCTCTGCATATCCTCCGTCTGATTCCACAGCTGAAGTCAGAGGGAAAGAAAGCAATAGCAAATGAGATGTATTACTTATTTAGGTATTACAACTTGACATAAACAATACATTGCATCCATAGAGTGTATAGCGCTTTGAAAGCACACAGGTTCATTACGACGAAGGAAAGTGAAATGTTTTCATGCCTTTCATACTTTTTCACATTTTATTTCATATGTATCTATATTCCAATAGAAGATATCCACTATAGGAGCACAAGTTGGCTAAAATCTTCTTTACTCATGGTGCAAGATAGATATAACAAGTGAATTTAGTACTTACCCCCACCGAAAGGTGCCGGTGCTGAATGTGGGTTTTCAAGATTGTCGAACCTGATGTTCACAGAACTCCCGAGCAGAGGATCAGAGCACCTGAAGGATTGAGGTGAGGAGAGAGATTAAGGATAAAGACACAAATGGGTTTATAGAAAGGGTTAAGGTTGAGAAAAGATGAAGACAGCATGTTCTTTCTGCCACAACCTGGAAGTATTCATGCTTTATACCAGTGACAATGCTAGCTCAAATGGGGATATTGTCAGACCTCATCATCATGTCTTCTTCTCCTCCTGCGAAGTGAGCTTGGCCATTGCTGTCTCCTGACTTCTGTGTCTGGTAGTAGCTTTCAAACAATATGGGCTCTGTTCAAGGAAAAGAGAAGTTGCTCATTTTAGAATCTGGTCAAGTTCATTTGTAATGGCTTCTTCTTCACTTCTCTCTCTGAGTTTGTCGGTTCCTCCGAAAGGGAAGAACAATCTAAAAGTCTTGTGGCCTCTTACCTGGAGGCCGCGTTCCGGTGCTTTTCATCCCTATGAAGTAGTTGTTGTCTGTGGTGATGTCACAAAACTCCAGTAGCTTCCTCACCTCCTCGTAAAACTGATTTTAAAACGACAACAAAAAGGAAGAAACTTGGCTTGTACAAAATATGCTTTTGCTAAATCATTAATCGAACGGATGGATGGCATTTTGTGCTGTTCTCTTTTTTGTAAAGAAAAACCCCCTTCTGCAAGGCTAGTAGTATATACAGAAACATCGTTATTATGAGGCCAATGTGTTTCAGCTTGTGGCTTTCATAAGGTCTCAAAGAAAGGTTTTGGAACATTTTTACTGCTAGAGTTTACATATTTATTGCTACGCTTATATTGGGCCTGTAGTCATCTATATGCTAACATGTTAACATTTAACTGGTATAATCTTTTCACCATGTTCACCAGTTTATTTTAGCCTTGAGAAATACCACTTCATGGTTAAGATTCAGCTTTGGTGGGCAAGCTATTATAATGTGCACTAAGAACATGCTAATGCCGCTAAATGGATAACTTGCCACACATATATAATTTGCACACAAGCCTGTACTAAAACAAGCATTGAAGTGAGACTCTCACTCTAAGCTGATCCTTGAAGGTTAAGTCATGTCTGTGGTCATTTAAAACTTAATACATTAAGAAAATAAAGAGCTTACCTCATCATCTTTGACACACTGCATGGAGAAGTGATTGCAGTGGTCCCAGAGAGCACACCTGAGCATGCTGATGCGATTTCCTTCCAGCTGCTGGAACACCTGAGAGACATATACACACCACATACTGTATATCCACTTTACCATATCCAGGTTCATCATATCAGTAATTTAGTCAGATTATTTTCTTACTCTTCGTTTCCCTCACCTTAAATGTTTTTATGCTGCATTACTGCACACTTGCAGTATCATCTAAATGTATTAGGAATCGATATGTGTCACCTGTTTGCGATGCACCTCGAAAAAGCTAACAGTACTTAAGTCGGTATGATGAAGTGTGTTACTGCGTGGTTGTGGGTTTGTTCTATATTTAGCCCTATGCCAGAAAGTGTGTTCCCTCGGATGTCAGAAATCTAGTTTGTGTGGTTATAAACTCTTGTTTTGTGTTATGACTATGCAAGACAGCAATGCATGTCATGTTATTTTTATCCAAAGTCGCTACAAGTGTAATGTAATGTAAGAAAATAGTCCATACCTCACATGTGCTTTTGTGTGTTTCCTCCCAGTCCTGGCGAACACTCTCTAGCTGAACAATATTGGTTGAGTAAAGTTTCTCTGTGAGAGATTAGTTAACACGGAAACAAACACAAAATATAAAATCAGTGGCAGAACAGAAACAAGTAATGAAACAGTCTAATTCAAATGTGTGCAGTTGTAAATAGATATTCTAGAGATATGACTTGTTTCTGAGTCATGCTGTACCTGCTTCCTTGGCCGCCTGTCTGCATTGTTTGGCTCTCTGACGTCCCTGCGAAACATTTGTTAGAAAAGAAGCAGCATGCATGACCATGACAATATCATCCCAAAATGCGAGACTTCATCACATTGAAACATCGTCTTCATCATAACGGTTAAAAGACATGTTGGACTTTTTGGAAAGGTCACTTTGGGTACTTCCTTAACAAACATAAAGATGATCAGGAACGTTGGCGCTATGTTGAATGTACTTTAAAGGAGATGGCGGATGTCACAGTAGCGCATGTATTTTAGTTCCTCTTTGCTAGATGTTACTTTGTCACATTGCATAACAGTCCCACAGCTAATGTTGACTTGTTACCAACAGGAAACATTACTTTATAGTGCGATATTTAATTTAGTTTATGCACCTTTTCTGAGTTTTTGGATGCAACGGTTATCTTCTCAGCCCCGTGTTCTGCCTCGTCTGCCTCTCTGCATCTCACTTCGTAGGTCTTCTTAGACTGAGAGCGACAGAAACACAAACCACAGAGTTGTCCAAAGGACAGGAAGTGCTGTTTGCTGTTAATGCTGCTAGTAATAGCTACGTGTGTTAGGCCGGTTTAGGCCGTTTTCTTACCTCCATGGTCCTCTTGTACATAGCAACCTTTTTCTTCTGAACCTTCTCCATGATGCTTTGAAACTACCAGGGGAAACAGAAGTGTCAAAATCAAACAATTTCAAGTTTTGATATCCACTGTTCTTAACATGCAGTAGAAATCTAAAACAAAATAATATTATTTCTAACATGATCTTAATACTGGTTGCTTCCTGTAGGTGTTATCCGTATTTGCATTTACTGCTCAATGCATTGTTTGGCCATTACTTAGCTTTGCAATTATGCATTACCTTTTTGAAAGGGGTTTAACTGACCATAGAATACAATCTGCAGACGGGCAGAGTTGGCTATCAAACCTCACATTACGTTTATCTGGCCAATGAATGCTCACCTCTTTATTTGTGTACAATACTGTAAGTAAGTTGTTAAGCAACAGAAAGTTCCCTGTACCTTCTTCCTCTGCTCTTTCTGCCGTTCTCTGAATGTCTCAATCTTTTTCACCTCCTCTTTTAATAAATCAGATAGTTGGATGTGAAAGGTACCGATGTTCTCGATTTCTGCAGCCAAAAACAGCAAAATGTATCAATTTTTTATACACAAAGAGGAAAAATGGCAGCAGTATTTTGAACTTTGTGACTTGCTTTGTCGAAGACTGGACAAACTTACGTGTTTTTAATATTTCAAAGGATGCTTTCAAGGTGCTGGAAAAAAAGTAAATTCATGATTAGATATAATTTAAGTTATATAGTAGTTTATAGCTAATTGTCACCTCATAGATTAATCCGTTCTAAAACAGGCGCCTGACATGATAGAGAACAGGAAACTGCCTACTGATACTGACCAACTGTACACTGAGGGGGGTTGCTGCAGTAGGTGACACACACACACACACATGCACACGCATACACACGCATACACACGCATACACCCTGTTTCTTTTTTTGACACAAAAAGTGCGTTTCCTCTAAAAGAGCATGAGTCAAAGATGACTTGAGTTGACTTTTTTGTAGCGTCTGTTGCAGGTCAGTTTCAAGCAGCATTTTCTTGCTGTTACAAAAACCAATCACAATCTCTTGCAAAAACTATTTGTGGCCCTTTTGCAACATTTCAAGTGTACAATCTGTGTGTGCACAGTACACCAACTAATGTTGTCATAGGCATCCGAATCTGAATTCAGCCCATTACCTGATCTCTGTGTTGCCTCCTGCTTTGCGAGCAATAGTCACCAGGTCCTTCCCATACTTCTCCTCTGCTAGTGCCCTGTGGAGTATCAACAGTCTGTCACATCATTACTTATGTTATTAACATTAGTTGTAAAACTGAACTGTTTTTAATTGTTCTGTCCCAAATGAAGAGAAGCAGTAACTGTATTTTGTCTTGTAGATGCTATCAACCTTTGGAGGCTGAAGATCATCATTTAACAACAAGGAAAAGTTGTTTGTGTTATCTGATCTTTCGTTAGTTTTGGTTTTGATTTGAGGTTTTTTATCTCTATAAAACTAATATTATCACTTATATCGTGCTAAATATTTTTGTTCCACATACAAAGGCCTGTAGGCTACATTATTTCTGCACCATGAATACACAAAGTTGTCTAACAAACCAACAAATGTTAATCTGTTGTAGTACAAATTAGCAGTTGGATTTTGGTTATCTTGTAGTAATAAAAAGACAGCAGTGGTCTCAATTCTTCACAGGCAAGTGGTCAGGGTTAAGGCCTTTTGGTTTCAGCTGCTGAAATACAGACTGAATGCTACCTCATCTTTAAGAGCTCCTCCATGTCTTTGCACATTTCTCTTCCATCTCGTAACCTTTGGATCACAGTGTCATACCCGGCGTGACAAGTGAAATCAGACCCCTGTATGAAGAAGACATTGTTAGGGAAATTCTGCAGTTAACAGCATTTCTCAACAACTGTTGCAACACATCCTTAAGTCAATCCTGGACTCACTATGTGGTAAAAATGCAGAACTAGCACATGGCAAAAATAGTTTTATGTGACATGGCAACATGCCTACTTTATGAAACAGACCCTTTGAGCAGAACTCAACAAGGACATTTTATGTATCTAAATATATATATATATATATATATATTTGGCTAATTAAGGACTACTGGTACAAGTTAAAATATAGTTTATGTACATGATAATATAGAAGGAGACTGCATGGCAATGTATCGTAAACATTATGTTTTGGAGGTACGTGCGTACCGTATAATTCAATTTGAGTATACTTGCCATTTGAATTTCGACCAAGATAACCTTGAGATAGAATATTGCTTGACTGAAGATACAAATGATGTTTCACTTATACAAGGACAAGTTCAGTTAACCACAAGAGCACACAAATAGACTTACCCAGAACGCATCTTTATACAGCAAAGGGGGCATCGTCCTTGAACTGAACACGGTAGATTTCCTCAGTGTGAACTTCTTCTAGATAATTTCTCTCTGAAGTTGATCTCTCACAATTAATATAATGCTGTTGAAGGTTGAGGGATACTCAAACTGTGTTTTAAGACTTCGAGTGTCCTGAGAGTCAGTGAGTCATTTTGAATGAGGAAGAGATTCTGCCCCATGATGTCACTGACCACAGTCAGCTCAGCCTGTGAGAGGCAGCTTCTCTTTCACTATCAGTTGCTGAAGACTCAATGTCTGCTTTGCAGTTTATGTTAGGGTCTGTCAAACATAGGCAGCATAAATCATCTGCCTAAGTATGTCAGTGGTTGAAATGTGTTGGCAGCATTCTATTAGTAGTTTGGCCATTGACACACTAACACTCATCCAGCATGGTGTCAGTCACAGTGAGTAATACTGGGCTGAAGGCTGAAAGAGAGAGATTAGCAGTGACACCTAAAGTGTCCGTGTTGCATTAATATGACATTTCATTTTGTATTATTCAAATTAGTATACCATTTGTATAATATTTTATCACATTAACATAATATGCATATTTTAGACTTGCATTTATAAAGCATGTATTATATGAACATTTATATACAATCTGAATATTTAAGTGATATTTAGAATGTATTTAACCCATACTAGTATTAGGAGCAGCTACTATACAGCACTATGGGGGTCTGGTGGTAAGCTCAAGGGCATATTACCTCTCGGTAAGAGCCAAGATGTTTTTCATCAATATATTATAGGTCTCAGATATATACTGTATCAAAACATGTCTCTGAAGTGTTTGGCTCCAAACACCAAACAGACCATTGCAGCATCACCCATAATCCCCTCTGTTTCAGCCCTGTTTCCAAAGTGCTGATTCTCTGTCTGTTACTTTAGATGAAAAATAAGGAGCCCCTCCCCACGCCCCTCTTATAGGTTTTTATATAAATGGATCCGGACAAAAAGTAAGTGAATCTTTTTTCCTGAAACTTTCAGAATCTCTTTACACAGAGGGGACACATGTTGATGTATACAAGACAGGAAAAAGTGGATTTTGCATAATACAGTAGGTGACCTTTTAAGGTACCAGCTTTAATAATACAAACCATTTTTTATGTTAACCACTTTGAAAAAAAGGTTGATGATATTCGCTCTTCTTTTTCTGACTCACCTTTACTCACCGCTGGGTCACCAGACCCACCGTTCACCCACACACTGACCTCCTTTTCCCCTCTCTCTCCAAGTGAGGTTCTTACCCTCATTACCTCTGCCCGCCCTACCACCTGTCCTCTGGACCCTATCCCCTCAAACCTCCTTCAGACTATCGCTCCTGATATTCTACCATTTCTCATCCATTTCATCAACACTTCTCTAACTTCTGGTCACTTTCCAAACAGTCTCAAGGAGGCAAGAGTAAACCCTCCCCAAAATAAATCCACTCTCGACCCGTCCGATGTTATAAACTACAGGCCTGTCTCTCTCCTCCCGTTCCTGTCTAAAACACTTGAACGCGCTGTCTTTAAACAACTCTCCTGTTATCTCAATCAGAACAACCTTCTGGATCCGCACCAGTCTGGTTTCAAGGCAGGTCACTCAACAGAAACTGCTCTCATTGCTGTCACTGAGAAACTGCACACTGCCAAAACTGCATCCCTCTCCTCTGTCATCATCCTGTTGGACCTGTCTGCTGCATTCGACACGGTGAACCATCAGATCCTCCTTCGCACTCTCCAAGAACTTGGAGTTTCAGGCTCTGCACTTTCCCTCCTCACCTCATACCTCAAAGACTGTACCTACAGGGTAACTTGGAGAGGGTCCGAGTCCGACCCTTGTCAATTAACTACAGGGGTCCCTCAGGGCTCTGTTCTTGGTCCCCTCCTCTTCTCCCTGTACACAAACTCGCTCGGATCAGTCATTAGCCCGCATGGTTTTTCATACCACTGCTACGCTGACGACACCCAATTAATTCTGTCCTTTCCCCGCTCAGAGGCCCAGGTCGTCGCACGCATCTCTGCTTGTCTAGCGTATATCTCTCAGTGGATGTCTGCTCACCACCTCAAGCTCAACCTTGACAAGACTGAACTGCTTTTCCTCCCGGGAAAAGATTGTCTCACTCTTGACCTAACAATCAACATCGGCACCTCTATTGTTTCCCCGACTCAGACTGCAAGGAATCTGGGTGTGATCCTAGATAACAAACTGTCCTTCACTGCAAACATCGCTGCTACAACCCGTTGCTGCAGATACACGCTTTACAACATCAGGAAGATACGTCCCCAGCTGACCCAGAAAGCGACGCAGGTTCTGGTCCAGGCTCTCGTCATCTCACGCCTAGACTACTGCAACTCTCTCCTGGCTGCTCTACCTGCATGTGCCATCCGACCTCTGCAGCTCATCCAGAATGCAGCGGCTCGTCTGGTCTTCAACCTTCCTAAATTCTCCCACACCACGCCGCTCCTCCGCTCCCTTCACTGGCTTCCGGTAACTGGTAGAATCCACTTCAAGACAATGGTACTTGCGTACCATGCTGCGAATGGATCTGGCCCTTCCTACATCCAGGACATGGTTAAACTGTACACCCCAGCACGTGCACTTCGCTCTGCATCAGCCAAACAGCTCGCTGCACCCGCACTGTGAGGAGGACCCAAGTTCCCATCAGCAAAAACACATGGGTTTGCTATCCTGGCTCCAAAATGGTGGAATGAGCTCCCCATTGAAATCAGCAGATAGACAGCAGATAGCTTGCACATCTTCCGGGGGAGACTGAAAACTCATCTCTTTCGACTCCACTTCGATCAATAGAATTACTAACATAGAATTACTAACAAAGCACTTATATACTAATAAAGGACTGGCTTATCTAAAGCCAGTTGAGTAGCACTTGAAATGTTTTTGCTCTATGAAACCTGATGTACTTATATGATTCTGTTTTCTTCAAGTTTCTATCTTGTTGGTCGAACGCTTTATTGTAAGTCGCTTTGGATAAAAGCGTCAGCTAAATGTAATGTAATGTTTATAATTCATTGTATTCTTACAGAACCTCAAAGTTGGCTACATAAATGAAATTATGATCTATAATGGTCCATAGTTAATTAATCTGAGTAATAAATAAATCCTCCATTTTTTACAATGTCATGTCAAACAATTCAAGCCACTGTTGTGTTGTATGTCCCTGTTGTGACCACTAGGGGGAGACACAGACCTTTCTAAAACTATATTACACAAACCCAGTAGTTAAGTGTTCCATGGGATCAGACCCTCTCATCACACAGAGCCAGCACCTCTTAAATCTCCACGGGAGGTTTGACATAAAATCCGAAATCTTTCAATCCAGTTCAGATTAATACAAATCTGTGCCTCGGGCATCTCTCCGGGAAAACATGGAGACATGTGAATGAGCACATAGAAGCTTATTATTGATTTTCAAAGTGAGGAGAAGGACAGACAGTGGTGTTTCTCACCAGCCGCTCAATGAGATGTGTGAAAATCTTTGGCTCTCTCACAAAGCCGGGGATCATTCTGTCACACACCTAACGGCATGTTAAAGGGACAGAGCAAATCAATACAGCCAACTGAGAATGATGGAGCGTGGCCTTTCTATTTGTTTCATATTCCTTTGCTTTATAAAATCATAAAGCATTCTCAGATTAAATTCAACATGTATTGCCCTGGCAATATATACGTTTGGTTTATGAACAAAGGAACACATTATACAAATATATTCAGTAACTAAATCAGAGTTTTGTTTTGTTTTGTCCCAGAAACGTACCTACCCCCTAACCCTTTTTTAATTTTTTAATTTTTCAAATAATGTAATGTTTTTAAAAGCGTTAAAGTGCTTGTTTATTTTCTCAACCTAAATACGTTATTAATGTTCAATATATCATAAACACCACATTTGGACAAACATAGTTTTCATAATATACGCAAAATATGATAGAATTCTAAATGGGTCGACACCGATTGAATGCCTTTAATAACTGCTGCATCTGTTGATTGTTTTAAGCTCTCCTTAATAGTTATATACATTTTTTTTACTATTATATAAACCTTAGCGTAGTCTGCTCTCTCCCATTTAACCATGCACATATTTCATTTAGGCTACACTGTATATTTCTGCTTCTTGATCAACAGTCATAGCTGTCCTTCTGCACGGTTTGTTTTTTTCAAGCACCAATTCAGTTTTCACACATGGAAAACCAAACATTTGCCAGTTAGAGCGAAAATAATCCTCCCAGGCCGAGGCTTGCAAGTTTTCAAGTGGAGCTGACTAAGTCCGTGGTGCTTGGTCTTCGCTGTGACCCCGTTTCAAGCCTCTAATGGAGGGACAAGCTCTGGGAATCAGCTGTGCTGCCAGGGCCTGCCCTGAGCACACCATTACACACCAGGGTTTCAGCACACACACATACACACACTTACACTTAAGTTTCCTAGCCCTCTCTCACTCGTTCTCTCTCTCCCCATCACACTCCCCGGAGTGGCAGTTATTGAACTGTGACAAACGAGCCGTGTCAGACCAGCCCCCCAACCTGGGGGATTGGCTAAATGACCTTTCCATTACCCAACCACTGCTGTATTCCCCCTCCTCAGATAGAGTTACACACACAGCCACAAAGCCCATTTGCCAGGACCAGTGTCACCGCCGCTGCCATTAGCAACTACATCTCTCTATGTATTTTATTTAAATTTTCATCTTAAGCCTGCAGATCTATTTAGCGCAGTGGTTCTCAAACTTTTTCTGTCGGGCCCCCCCTTTGGAGAAAAAAAAAGTCGGCCCCCCCAACACAAATAGTCAGGCTCAGTGGCGGCGCCAGAGATTTCTTTTGGGGGTACTGTGGGGTATCTTGACGTTTCATAGAGGGTGCTCAAACATTTAGGGTTTCCCATTAATGTACCGGGCGCTACAGTGGAATTTTCTACTGCAACACTCCCCACGCAAATACACAGTGTGACAGTTACAATGAAGGCTCGATAATCAGCTCACGGCATATAGGTGTAAGCAGGGGTAAAGTGCTATTTTTATAAGTGGGGAGTGGACCTAACATAGGGGGGTCCGGGGGCAAGCTCCCCCGGGAAGATTTATTTCTAAAAATTGAAGTTAAAAACATCAATCTGGTGCACTTTGAGAGCAAAATGAAGAGATCTATGGATACATCTCTCAACAC